GTCCCCCAGGACCTTCCCGTCGGGAAAGGATGGGGAGTCCCAGAGCCGGACCCCACCGGGAGCTCCCAGCCCGTAGGACGCTGAGCGCGGAGTTCCCCGGGTCTCCTTGGCACGTCCCTGGGGTGCCCTGAGAGCTGGGGTGGCACTTCAGGGCTGGTGTCACCTCCGGGTGCTGCCCGGGGAGTCCTGCCCTTCCCGGAGTGCCCCTTCCCTGCCCAGTGACCACCCTCGGCTCCCTTCATCCCCCGCATCAGTGGTGCCCCATCTTTGGCAGCCGGAGAGGAGTGGGGAGGGGGGGATAGTGCTGCCACCAGCTTGGCCCTGCGGCCACTCCCTTGCCAGGGGTGATAGAGGAGGTGTCCCGCGCCCGGAGCCGGCTGAGCAACGGCCCCTCCATCTCTGGAGTGCTCAGTCCCTCCCCACCTGCTCCCTAGCCCTGCAAAACCTCTCCCCAGGGATGCTGTGGCAAGGACCATGTCCACTACAGGGATATCACCTTCCCACGGAGTCACAGCTGGGCATGACACCCCTGTTCCCACCACTGCCAGCCCCTAAAATTGGGGGGGAAATGCAAAAAGCAGCATCTTTTTTGTGGGAAAATAGTTTGAGTACTGCGGTGCTGTGAAGGAGGCTCAGCCTACTGGGATGAGCAGCCCGGGGGAAAGCTCCTGCCCTTTGCTGAGTCTCCTGTTCCTGCAGGGAGGTTTGGGGATCAAAACCCTCCTGGGAACTGCGTCATGCAGCCTCACTGGCTGCGCTGCTGGAGCTCAGCTTGCTCCTGGCCACACTGTCATGGTCCTCCCTGCAGACCCGCAGTGCTGGGGACACGGGCACAGCTGTCCCTGTCACCGCTGGAGCTGGCACTGGAGTGGCCACCGAGGGGCTGGGGAAGGTGGGACAGAGGCATCCCAGTGGGAGTGGGCAGCTCCTGATGTGGGTGTCCAGCTGCTTCCCTGCAGCATGTCCTGCTGCGCCCTTGGATGTGCTCTGTCATCTCCAAAACACAGCGGCAGGCACGGATCCAGCTTGGCCCGTGGCCCCCAGGCAGGGCAAGGCTGTCGGGCTGCGGCACAGCGGTGCCCAGGAGAGGAGGGACTCCTGTTGGGGAAGAAGGTGGCCTTGACAAGGACAATGCTCAGCCACACCGAGTGGGAGCTCCAAGAGCTCCAGCCACTTCCCTCTGCCAATGGAGGGACCTGGGGTCCATTCCGCTGTGGATGAGATTGCCTCACCCAAGTTCATCCCTGCACTTAAAACCCTCCGATGGGGCTTCCATCCCTTGAGCCGCTTCCCCTCAAGGCTCCTCGTGTCCTCCTGGATGTCTTTGATGTCCTCACTTTGCTGGCCACAACTGCCCCGAGGCTCTGAGGTGCAGCCACATGGACTGGCCGTGGCTCTCCAGAGGGGATTTTCCATGACACTCCACACCCCGCTGCCCTGCGGACATGGATCAGACCTGTCCAAGCTGCTGCCCAAAGGAAGCCAAGCTACCAGCCACAGCTTTTCTTGGCCTCATTCTCTTTCCCAGCTCAAAACTCTTGCTAATTTTTTCCCAACCGAATTCAAAGGAGTTCTCCTGCACTCGCAAAAGGAAAGCCCCAGCAAGAGCAGTGGAAAGCTAAACACCTCAGAGGCTCATACCAGCACTCCAATATCACCCAAGCCCTTGATGCTGCTCATCTGCTGGGATGTGGTCACCAAAGAGGAAGGTTCCCTGGGACTTCCCCAGGTGCTTCAAGCCAGGATGTGGATGGGTTATTCCCAGTTGCTGTGTTGCAGTGGGAAGAAGATGCTGCTGGGGACCCCAACGTGCTGATGCCAAAGGCAGGTGCTGTGGACCAAGCCTCCAGAGACTGAAATGCGGAGCAGTTTTGGGAGGAATGCCCACAAGGAAAAGCCTTGGCTATCCCTTGGTCAGGCACTCCACAGGAAAGGGCAGCATCCCCCAGCTGTGCCCAGATGTTAGTGGGATGAAGGATTTCAGGCAGGGAGGTGACACCTTGCCTGGCAGCAGAACGGAGCCGGTGTCTGCACTGCTGTCCCCGACCCTGCTGCTTTGAGGCACACCAGGCACCCCCAAAGCCGCTGAGGGCCAGCACTGTGCGAGCCATGTGTGGCTGAGCCCTGGCTGAGCCATCCTCACACCAAGCATCCCACAGGCAGGGCAGGGCTGCATATTCCCCAGGCTCTGGAGGAACTACATCTCAGCACAGATATAGGCAGCGAGGGGTACAGGATACACAGGACAGGGAGCTCCCGGAGCTCCCAGCCACCTCGGAGATCAGTACTGGGCTGATCCCTTCCTGGGGCTGATCCCGCCCCCCGTGGGGGGGATGCTGTGCCAAGTGCCTTGTCTCTGCTCCCCATTTGCTTTGCCCTCATGGCCCCCACAGGGGGTTGAAAGGAGACAGTCCTGGCTGGGAGATGCTCAGACAGGATGAGGAGATTTGTTTAAATGACTCAGTTGAAGCATCAGATGCAGAAAATGCAGCAAAGACTGGGATAGGGACAAAGTCCCCTGTACTCTACAAGTGGATGTAGGGGACAAATTAAGGGCTATGTGTCACCTCTGTAAATTCGGGCATCACCAATTTGTATAACACTCAGCATTGGCAATGGTTGGCACAGTCACCTTGGAGCCGTGTCCTGGTGCAGAGCAGGACCAGTGCTGTATCCCACCGTGAGCATCCATCCCTCTCCTCCTGCCTGGGGAGGTCTTACTTCATCTTTTTCCTTCACCAGGAAATGGCTACATTGAAGGCAAAGAGCTGGAACACTTCTTCCAGGAGCTGGAAAGTGCAAGGAAGGGTGCTGGTGTGGTAAGGGCATCTCCTGGTTTTGCTCCCTCCTTCCCCCATTCTCTCCTGCCCAAAGATTCAAGCTCATGTCAGCCCCATCTCCTCTGGAAATGGCACTGATGAGTGGGACCAGGGCTCCTCTGGGAGGGAAGTGGGGGGACACCAGCACAGGGAGGGGGGGAAATGCTCCCATACCTTCATTCCTTGCTGGCAGGATTTAAAGAAAGACAACTTGGGTGAGAAGATGAAGGAGTTCATGCACAAGTATGACAAAAATTCAGACGGCAAAATTGAGATGGCAGAGGTGAGTGGTGCTGGATCTAATGACCCCCGGGGTGCTCATGTTTCTCCTGATCTTTGTGTCCCCCCGTGATGCTCGTGTTCCCCACAGCTGGCCCAGATCCTGCCCACTGAGGAGAATTTCCTGCTGTGTTTCCGCCAACATGTGGGCTCCAGCTCGGAGTTTATGGAGGTGAGTGGGACAGGCTGTGCTGGGACTCCCCATGGGATTTGGTCCTCAGTGACCAGCTCCACCGCAGAAAGACAACTGGGAGCTACATTTGCCCAAACCTCCCTGGTCTTCCCCAAGCTTTTGGCATTAACTCTGCTGGGGAGAATGGGAGTGTGATGAGTTTTCCCAGTCCTCAGCACCCCTTGGGCCCCTCTCAGGGCAACTGGGGAGCTCATCCCAGCCTCCAGACGAGGTGAGCTGCAGGGATTTGGGGCTGGTCTGTAAATTCCCCATCATGGTTGGTCCTTGGTGCCCAAGAGATGTGCTGAAGCAGCCAACACTGCTGTGGGTCACCCTACAACCTTGCTGTGCCAAAGTCTCCTATGCAGGTGGGAGATAAATTGTGGATGGGGAGTGTGCAGCAGCCTGGGGATGGTGGAGCTTGTGCTTGGAATGCACCCCAGGTGGAGACAATGGCTGAAAGGAGAGTGTCCTGTGGCAGAGTGGGGGGAGTGAGCAGGCACTATTGTTTAATTGGGGGATGCAATTAAATATTATTAAATATTAAAGCCTGACCTTGCATATTGGCATGAGGATAATAGTGCTTGAACTCTTGGCATGGGGCTGAACAAAAGCATCCAGCCCCAAGGGAGAGCATGTGGCACCGGTGAGGCCACCACGAGCCAAGATGGGAGCCATGAGATGACCCTGTGTCTGTTAGGGTGGTGGGGGACACGCCAGGGAGGGTTATGGGGGCACACACGTGTTGGGAGGGAAATGGGGGCCACAAGCCCAAGTTGAGGTTCATGGTGGTCCCTTCGCAGGCTTGGCGCAGGTACGACACGGACCGCAGCGGCTACATCGAAGCCAACGAGCTGAAGGTGGGCTGTGGGCAGGGGCTGGGCTGAGCTGGGTCCCCACCAGTGGGACAGCCCCACTGGGACAGCCAGGGATGGGGACAGCCAGCAAAGCCCTCTCCTCCCAGGGCTTCTTGTCGGACCTGCTGAAGAAGGCGAACCGGCCCTACGATGAGCCCAAGCTGCAGGAGTACACACAGACCATTGTAAGTGGGACCTGGGGGGCTGTGGCTCCCCTCCCTGGGGGTATCCCCACTCCATGGAATATGGGATGGAGGGGAGGAGGACGTGATGGGTGACCAGGTGCTGCTTGTGTCTCCTCAGCTGCGGATGTTCGACATGAACGGCGACGGGAAGCTGGGCCTCTCCGAGATGTCCCGGTAAGGCCACGGGCGGTGAGAAGGAAGCAGTGGGGAGGGAAAAACACCTGAAACATGCAGGTGTAAGAAGAGTCTGCTCCAGCTTCCAAGGAAAACTATGTTCCTCTTTAATTTGCTCATGTTTCTGAGCAAAAAGTCATTGTGGTTTAAAAAACCTTTTTCCTGGCTACTTCCTGCTCTTCCCTGCCCTTCTTGTTTTTCAGACTTTTGCCTGTGCAAGAAAACTTCCTTCTGAAGTTTCAGGTAAAATAATAACAACAACAGCAACAACCCATTCCCATTGCTTGTGCCTCCATCCCCTCCCTCATGCCCTGGTGTCCCTTTCCACTTCCCAGGGGATGAAGCTGTCTTCAGAGGAGTTCAATGCCATCTTCACCTTCTATGACAAGGTAGGAGCTAGCTCCCAGGAAACCATCCCAAATAAATGTAACTTGGCAGAAAAAGAATCCCAAATCACTTGGTTTTGGTTGCATCAATTCCCTGCTCTGGTTTGGGGTGTGATCACTGAGTTTACCCCTGGCTGTGCTGTGTGAGGGTCTGGGGGTGCCTCCCACACCCATGCCCAAGGGGGAATTGTGGGGTGTGTGTCCTTCCTGCTGCTGATGTCCCTCCTTCATTATCCAGGATGGAAATGGCTTCATTGATGAGAATGAGCTGGATGCACTTTTGAAAGACCTGTATGAGAAGAATAAGAAAGTAAGTGGGGACAAAGCCTAGGTGCCCCCCCCGAACCTCCCAGTTCCTCCTCCCCTCTCCCAGCAGCATCTGCCACCCTCTGTGTCCATGCTCTGTGGGGACCAGGTACTGACCCTGCATCCTCATGGGTGTCTGCACTAGAGCTGGGAGGTGTGTAATCCCAGCCTGGGGGTGTTCCCCAGGGAGGAATTGGGTGCCCACCCCTACTGCCCCTCATGCCTTGCAGGAGATGAACATCCAGCAGCTCACCAACTACAGGAAGAGCATCATGAACCTCTCTGACGGGGGCAAACTCTACCGCAAGGAACTGGAGATGGTGCTCTGCAATGAGCCCCCCATGTAGAACCCTCTCATACACACACCCCACGCTCCTCCTCCCCCAAAACAAGCACAACAGGGGAGCCCCCATCACTGCAGTGCTCCCCCAACAGCTCTTGGGTTTGCTGTAGTTTGCTAAAATCTCATTTTGGGGGGGGGAAACTCTTATTTTTTTTTAGCCATCTGCCTGGTTTGTCTAATTACATGATTTTTTTGGGGGTGGGGGGAATGTTGTTTTCATTTTTTTGGTCTCTTCTTGAGTTTTTATCATTTACCAAAGAACAGTTTACTAATAAATTCAAGTACTGCTAGACTGGAGCTCCAATTTCTCCATCCCATGGTGGACTGGGGGGTGGCAGGGACAGGGGGGATCCCCCCCAGTCCCACTGGGGATGTGGCTGCTGGGTGAGAGAGAGATGGAGCTTTTGGGAAAGCCCCTATAGAATGGGGGGGATTGGAAAATCACTGGGAAGTGAGTGCAGGTAGGCTGGGGAGACTGATGTTCTGGGACAACAACACCTCCCAGTACCTCCCAGTACCTCCCAGTCACCCCTCCCACAGCCTGCCAAAGCCTCTGGGGCATCCCAAAGGTTGTGCCTCCCCCTCCTAGTTTTGGAAACCAGTCTAAGGTGGCAACACTGATGGAGTTACAGTGCCACCTTCCCCACCAGTGTGTGTGGGGATACCCCAGTTCCCCCCACACCTTCCCAGTGTCCTGGCACCAGGGTGGGTGCTGGGAATGTGTACAAGGTACTGGCTTCAACCCTGAGCCACCCAAGGCTGGGGAAGATGAGTGTGGTGCTGGGAGGGAGCTGGTGGGGACAGCCCCTGTACTATCCAGTATGGCCCAGTTCAGCCCTGTACACCCCAGTATGGTGCAGTACAGTGTAGTACAGACCTGTATGGCTCAGAAAAGCACAGTGCAGCCCTGTACAGCCCAGTATGGGCACAGTATGACCCAGTACAGCCATGTACAGCTCCATAGGGCCCTGTACAGCCCTGTATGGCTCAGTACAGCCCAGAACAGCACAGTGCAGCCAAGTACAGCCCCATATGGCCCAGTGTGGCTCAATACAGTCCTGTATAGCTCCATATGGACAAGTACAGCTCAGCATGACCCAGTACAGCCCTGTATGTCTCAATACAGCTCAGTATAGCCCAGTGCAGCCCCATATAACCCAGTATAGGTCAATACAGCCCTGTACAGCTCCATATGGCCAAGTACAGCCCTGTATGGCCCTGTAGAGTCCAGTGTAGTGTGTTACAGTCCTGTATAGTCCAGTGTGGCCCAACATTTCCCTGTACAGACCTGTATGGCTCCATGTGGTGTTGTACAGTCCTATACAGCTGAAGTACAGTGCTGTACAGCCTAATATGGTACAGCACCATCCTGTCTGTCCCAGTACAGCCTGGTACAAGATGCATCCCAGTCAAGTCCTCCATAGCCCAGTACAGCCCAGTTCGGCCCACCCACGTCCCAACTG